ATGCCTTGAGTAAGAGTATCTCTCACAGAATTGTTGACAAGAGAACATTGGTATACAAAAACAGAGCATGAACCCACTGATATGCAAGTGACCAAGCAAGCTAATAGTTGTAGCAAATTCAGCACCAGCATAACACACCATAGCAGACCACGCAAGCCATATGCACCAATAAAATCAGCACCAACAAGCCCAAAAAAAACAGAACCAGAAAGTCATTTACACCAATAAAAACAACACCAGCAAGCTATGTGTAGAAGCAGAATTAGCACTTGCACAAACACACTATAGCAAGCCAACACGCCAAAAAAAAAAAAACAGCACCAGGAACAACAGACATCAAGCAGACAACCCCAATGAGCAAGAAGGCTAGAAAATAGTGTAAAGAAGTGAAGATGAAAGGATAGTACAACCAACAAAGGCTTCCCTCCAAACCACATCCCAGCAGCAAACATCATAACAGAGTTAATGGAGACATGTATTAGGCATATTCCATTGAAGCAAGGTTAAGACATTTTGGTGGCTGCGATTGAATTTCAAGGTAAGCATCCTCTCCCTAATAGTCTACTTAATCATCGTGCAGAGTGTATGAAAGTCTGCAGCCTGGTTTTTGAAGATTCTGCCATTTCTTCAGCGTATATAATTGTCATTAAAGAGAATGTAATAAAATTATTTTAAAATTTTAATCTATTGGCTTTTAAAGGGTTCATTAAGTGGACAAGAAATAATCACATGTTTCTCAAGTTTTCAGAATTCGAGGATGAAATTGTTTTTAAAGAGTTAATTAAGGGTAAAATAAGAAAAATAAAAGTTTTTCATACTAAGAGACTTTTAGAAGTAACTAACAATGTACCACATGCGTCGTATGTGAATAGTTTCATACACAAAAATTAGTAAAAAGTATTTGGTATATGTACATTTGAATTCAATATCATCCTAAATTTATCAATTTTTTTTATTGCTCATATTCTATTATAGGATTAAAAAAACTTTGTATGTTTCCAAGATTTTTTGTTTTAACTATAAGAAAAAAGATTAAAAAAAAAGTTAAAATTCTATTTTTATAGAATTTTGGGATTGAAAGTGATTTATGTTTGATAATTATTTTTTTTGAAATTCATTTGATTAGGATTTTACTTATAATTCATTGAATAAAATAAAAGTAATTGTCAATATATTAATCATATTGAAACCTTATTTTAACTAAGAATTAGTTGGATCAATTAGGATAAGATTTAATATACTATTCTATAATATATATTATAAAACATAGTAGAATTCTAAAAAATTCAAGTTTTAATTAAAACTACACTATACAATCTATTTTTACATTAAATCTTAATATAGCTTAGAAAAGTTATTGTGATTGAAGAATTATGCTGATGTAACATAAAATTAATTTAAAAAAACTACATATATAATTATTTTTTATCTTAGCAATTGAAGGGTTAAACTTTTCAATGGAATGTTTATTTATTTTCTTTAGTAACATTAGATGGATAGAGTTTTAAAGTTTTTTGAACACTTTATAAAAAATTTAAATGATGCACATATTTTTAAGGATAATATAGTTGATCAAAAAATTTCATAGAAATTGATATTTAAACATAACAAATAAATAATTAAAAAAGATGATAGAGTAATTTAGAGATTTAAATATATAAGGATGATAATTTAGATATTTAAATATAGAAGGATAAAGTGGCCTTTGTAATTTTTTTATAAGGGAATTAAATTTTTTTTATATTAAAGTACTTTTATTAGTAATATAGATTATTAGTAGTTTAGATATAGATAAATAGTGAACTCACTCTTCTGATTATGTAATTTAATTCTCACAGTTTTCATAACTTAAAAAAATAAATTTGATATATTAAAAATTTGTCTAGACGTATACGTAAATTATAAAGTGTGTCCAAAAATTAACAGTTAATTAAGTATTTTTCTATACTACTTGATAGAACAAGAATTTGGTAGATTGAACACAAAATATATACAGTGGGCACCAGGAAATATACCAATTTTTTTAAAAATAATATAAGTAATAATGTTTTCAAAAAATTCAGGGTAGCTCATGCTCCCCTAGCCTCCTACTAGTTTCGCCACTGTTTGGTGTTTGTTTTAACTAGGGCGTGTGTTTTGAAGGTGGAGGATGTGGGGGTTACCGTATGATGGTGGTGGAGAGAGAAAGAAGTGATATGGTGGTGGTTTCAGTGGCGGCGGCGGCGGCCATGAGTATTAGAGGTGACAATGGATGGTGGATTGTGGAGAAAACATTGGGTGTAATAGTAACAGTCATTATCAACACGTGGTGTCATCATTCAATAAGAATATAACAACTCAACAAATGAATTTCACATATTTTAGTAACTACATTTCCATGTCATTTGATAACCATCAAGTGTAAAAAATATTGAGTGTAACCGTTATACCATATCAGCATTGTCACGTGGTATAATAGTCTACTAATAAGTAAACACATTAGCAAATAGGCTCCACTAAATCTCATAACCACCCATCTATGTCATTTATAACCACCTCAATTATAGGAAGCGAGCCTTATTTTACTTTTTTTTCTTTTTTTATTGGTAGGTTACACCTAATATTTACTCCATCAAATAGAGTTCACCTTGTTCACTTGTAAGTTTATTATAAGATGGTGACATCACATAGCGATGATGATGTGGTATCACTGTTACATCTAATATTTACTTTGGATTGTAATGGTGTTAATAGTGGATTTGAGGCAAATTTAGATTGATTTATGCAATTTAAAACAATTAATTTTGTTTACTAATTAAGTAAGTTAGTTTGCGAACAAAATTAATTTGATTAATTGAATTTGGGGCAAATTTAGATTAAATAATGAAATTAACTAGAATGGAGTGGTTTGCAGTTGGGGGGTGCTGAAGTTTGTAGTGGGTTTTGGGATGCATCATATATTTCTCACGGGTGTTCAAGTAAGAGTAGATGCACTCATCCCAGCATGGATCAAATGTGGATATCTGCTTCAACACATAATTTCTTTGACATTCTCCTATCATTATCATCCTCATCTGATGATTAACCATGCCAGAATAAACAAGATCCCCAAAAACTTCTCCTTGTGTTGACATCTTGTCATATGTGTTTCCAGCCTTTTGATTCTCCCTAACAAGCCTAGAATGATGTTCTTTGATCGGTCACACATAAAAGGATCATACTACTCAAAATTCTTGCATCCTCCACTTTGCTGCATACAACAGAAAACAAAAGTATGCTCTAACATTCAAAAAATTAAAAGGATTCAAAACATATGCCCTAATATTTATTGCATGCTTCTCGCAACGAAGGAACCTCGTATCGGGATTTTGATCTGTCCACAAAGTAAACATCTAGGTCCTTCTACAGCAACAATACATATGTTCCATGTTCTTCATCCTCTGCCCAGCTTGTCCCTTGCTCTGCATCTTTGTCACTTCGTCACTCTCTATTTTGTTGGTTTTGATAGCTAGGGATTGGATAGGTGTGGTGCATATTAGGGCAAGAGGGACGTTATATGACCGGGAAGGGATGTTAAATGACTCCCTTGCCCTTCTGATTTCCTCACAGGTTACTCACGTGCTATTTTTCGTCACTTTTTTGGATGGCAGTTAGGGATAACAAACAAAGTCAATCAATGTATTGACATGTAGAACGAAATTAAAACTTTAGCGATGAGATTGCAACAAGTGAAAAACTTCAGGGATGAATGGTGTCATTTACCCTATTATTAATTCATCAAAAAATTGTTGCCGCAAGGGTTACAAAAGTTTATGTAGTAGTAGCAATCCTAAAACCAACTAGGAAATATAAAAATGTGGCTTAATTATCATTAATCATGTTGAATCAAGCTAGAAAGTTACAAACTGATTAATGACTAAAATCTACTAATTATTCAGATTAAGGTAGAACTAGTGAAAATCAATTCTAATTTCAAACGCTGAAGTTATTCAGTTACAAAAAATTACAAAAAAGGCCAAAAAGCGTTTTAATTTGTCTGAAATGATTGTTTCAAAACCCATTTATATGTAAAAGTGGCACCGGTCCAAACAACTCCTATGTCGATCCCAATGATGCATGTATTGTGGTGCAATCCTACCCTATTCCGTACTCTATCATTTGTGCAAAGAAAGAATGCTGAAATGAGAAATCTATGAAAAACCTAGGTAGCAAGTCCCTGGACTTTTGATTTTTGCATCTGCACCAAGAGGGGAAATTTTGTGATCGTTTTTTCTAGTCATCCATTTTGGTGCTTATCATCTTAGGAATTCGTTTAAGATGCCAATTTTAGGCACGATATGCAATCTTGATAAGAAATTAATATAGAATTAGAAGGTTTAGATTTACCTTTAGAGAGATAGTAAATGAGTGAATTTATTGAACAGATCAAATAAATGAGCTGACACGAACCTCGTAAAAAAAACATGAAACCACTAAATATGACTTATGTATGGAATAAACGTGACACAACATCAATTCAACAATTCACACTTTTTAAATAAGTTGAGTATGGGTTGAGCAAATTTCAACACGATCGAACTTGAAACAATACGACCCATTAAGGTTCCTAATTTGACACCAATTACATATTTTAGACCATGACATACAAGATTGCGGATAAGAGTTTTGAGGAAACCTTTTTTAGTGAAGGTTCTGCATGGATATTGAAGGGGTGCCTAGGTAAAGTTTGTTTTTCTAAGGACACACGTTAACAAATTAGGTTAAAGTGGCATTTGCTCATATTATAACATCAACTACAACTAGTTTTCGAAGCTTGTTTCTCCAATACTATTTAGTTGCAAACAACTTTATAAGATTCTATAAACTCTTATTATCCGATATTATCTATTGATTTCACTAATTTTCAAGACTTCATGAAAATTAAAAACCATACTAAAAAACACACAAAAATATCCTAGTCTTCTGCAAAATTCGAAGCCATACTAGAAATCACACAAAATATCCAAGTCCCAACATACTATATAATTCTAGAAAACCTATAGGAAGAAATATTCAATTTATGATATCAAAGAAATTGAAAATAAGTAATGAATAGAAATCCATTGTCTTCTGCACTGACAAAACTTCTTAGAGTGGTGGTCAACACAGTACCACATCAAGACTAAATTCACAAATGAAAGACAAGAACAACATGATTTAGTCAAAGGAACAAAACATAGTAAAAAAGCTTAATTTTTTCTCCTTAGAATGCCTCCATTCTGTGTGGAACTGGGGTTTTGATGACCTGAAGTATTTGAACCACTTCTACCATGGAAGGCCTGCTTGAAGGTATCTGGGAAGTGCACACCAAGGCCAATTTTAGAACCGGCAAAACCTCCTCCTCTGGGTACTCCCCCATGCTTTGATCCACACAATCTAACACATTCCCTTGTTCCAGCAAAACTCTCACATGATCACTTAGTATTATCACATTGTCTTCCCCATACTCCACCGGTCTTTTTCCGGTCACCACCTCAAGGATGAGCACTCCAAAACCATAAATATCACATTTTTCATTGACCCTCAAGCTTTGGCATGCCAATTCAGGCGCCATATAGCCCATTGCAGTCTGAAATCTGTTGGTTATCACATGCTTGTCGAGCTTGGTTAAGAGTCTTGCAAGTCCAAAATCAGAGATCTTTGGATTGAAATTCTCATCAAGGAGAATGTTGCTAGGCTTGATGTTGTAGTGAATGATTGGTGGACGAAAAGAGTGGTGCAAATGGGCAAGTCCCTTGGCTGTTCCGAGCACAATTTTGAATCGACTGGACCAAGAAACAGGCGGTGTTGAAGGTAGCCTTTGGTGTAGTTTGGCTTGTAAGCTTCCATTTGGTGCATAATCTGATACCAGAAGCTGCAATTGAGGAGTCCAGTAGTACCCTTTGAGGGATATCAAATTTGGATGCCTTGCTTTCCCCAGGATTCGAACCTCTCGATCGAAATCTTCTTGATTCTGGATTATGTTTGACGTTACAAGCTTCTTAATTGCCACCATTCTTCCTTCTCCTCCCAATGAAACCTTATAAACAGTTCCAAATACTCCTTCACCAATTTCTGCTGCCTTGGTAAGAAGAGACTGGGGATTACTTATACAATCCGGGTACGTCTTTGAGTCGAATAACACGAGCTTCCCCGGGGCAAGATTTCCCGATGGTGATGAACTCGAGCACATGCTTTCCAAGGCATTGCTGACAAACGCCAGCCTCCTCCTGGCCGAAACGTTTAGTAAGGTTATCACCGCCACACCCACCACAATCAAAACCGCAGCTGATATTGCAACAATAGCCGAAACACTGAGGAACCTGTGAGACCCTAAATTAAAGGATCTATTCGGAGGCTCATTTCCTCGATATCGACCACCCATTTGATTTCCATAGGCATTAGGATCAAGAACCAAAGGTTTTGGGACATTCATCATACATGGTCCTTTCAACAATGGTGAGCAAATGCCTAAATTTCCTTGTAATGCACTCTGATCTAAGTTTTGAAATACAACTCCGGCGGGAAGTCGGCCGACGAGCCTGTTGTAGGATATGTTCACAGCAAGGAGATTTTCCAACCTACCAAGCTCTTGTGGTATCTCTCCACTTAGCTGGTTGAAGTCCAATTTCAAAATCTTGAGCTTGTTCATCATTGAAATGGTTTTGGGAATGGAACCACTTAGGTTATTGTGTGATAAGCTCCTGCAACAAAGACAGTCGTAATTACTATACTTCTGTCAAAATCGTAATGAAATAAACAAAACATAATTTCCTACAACAGGCTATTACAAAATAGTATCTGACTATTAGTGGTCTCTCATATTGTAACACCCTGATTTTATGGTGAGAAATTTGTTTCTCAATTGTAACGGCCAATATAGTGGCTTAACGACCAGGTCAGTATGATCGTAATGGCTGTACACGTTAGAATTGGATTGATCCTACTGTCAAGATTCAAAAACCGAATATAACTCTGAATTTCAATGGACAATAGCCTCTCTTTTTTTCCTCCTTTTTTCTCTTAAAACTCGTCATATACTTTTCTAACTTATAATACCAACCAAAATTTTGAGAATTCTGTCTAGTACTCAATTTTGGATCATTTTATACAAATTAGTACGCATGAGAAAGGCTTGGAGCATGTGGTGGGCATGAGCATTTGGTTTGTAAATTTGGTTCAAATAACATTATTAAAAAATCATTAGGAAGTATAACTAATAACTTGGTTTGGTTTGGGTTGGGTTGGGTTGGGTTGGGCACCTATTAATGAATCCATCTAAAAAAATTTGGTTAGTCTTTGTGTCATTAGGAAGTATAACTTATAATTGTTTCCTTGTCACATGAATTTCACTTGTATGTACTTGCTGCCCTTTTTTTCAATCTTCCTCTCTTCATAGTATTGATATTTAATATTGAATCAATCATATGATAAAGTAAGTAAATTAACAATCATAAAATATTTATATTTGAATCACTTCGTAGTTAAGACATCTATGTTATTAATTATGGGAGAGGGTGGGGTCTGGTGTCGTTTCTCTCAATTAACAACGAATAGTAGTAGATAATGGTAGTTTATAGTTCATGAAGGATTATGTTGACCCACTGATCCACTTCATTCATCCCTTTCTCTCTATAACCACCATTTTTGTAAAACCATACTTCAAATGTACCCAGGGGAGAAGGGGAAAGGACACACAAAAAAGGAAGAAAAAAGACTTACAGCAAGTAGAGAGATGAACAGTCCCCAATCTCTTCAGGTATTGCACCAGTCAAGAGATTTCCATCCAGTTGAAGAATTCCCAAGCTTCCAGAGTCACATATATCACCTGGAATCGACCCATATATTGCATTGTTTCTCAGATCCAACACAGTCAAATTCAGAAAATATCCCAGCTCCGGTGGAATTCTAGATTGAATACTGTTCCATGACAAGTTCAGATACCTCAACTTCGAGAAAAGACCCATCTCCCCTGGGAAGTCTCCGGTGAGCCTGTTTCGGGACAGGTCTAACGTTTTAAGTGATTCAAAAAGTTCTGCTGAACCGGAAGGTATTGAACCCGTGAGTTCATTCCATGAAAAATCGATTTCTTCCAATCCTATATCAAACAGGCCCTCAGGTATGCTTCCATTGAAATTGTTCCCACTCAACCGAATCACCGATAACTTTGTACAGGAAACCAGTGACCCAGGAATGCTTTCTGTCAATCTATTATCGGAAAAACTCAAATAATTCAACGATTTCAGTTCACCAATTGATTGGGGGAGGAACCCATTTAAACTATTGCCCGAGAAATCTACATATTCCAGGCTGCTCATTTTACTGATCCACTGAGGGAAATCTCCACTTAATCTGTTGTTTGATATGCTGAAAAAAGTGAGAGAATTAAGCCTCTGGATCGAGCCTGGAAGCTCTCCGGTGAACAGATTATTGCTAAGATCTAATCTGGTTAAGTGTGGACAAAATCCAATATCACTTGGTAGTGATCCTGAGAACTGATTTCCTTGTAAAATGAGTTCCTTCAAGTTATGTATGGTTGATATACCATTTGGTACAGCCCCGGAAAAAGCATTGAAAGAAAGGTCGAGCGCCCGGAGCCTCGTCAGTGACCATAGCCCGGTAACAAAACCTGGGTTGCCGGCGAAATGGTTGTTGGAGAGATTGAGATGATTCAAAGTTGTACATCTTGAGAGTGTGCTTGGAATTGGCCCTTCAAGAAAGTTTCTAGCTAGAGAAAGGAAACGAAGCGAGGAACAGTTTTCGAACATGTTATCAGGGATAGGCCCTGATAGTGAATTCTCTGATAGATCAAGAAATTTTATTGAACTCATTTTAGCGAAAGAATCTGGAACGCGGCCTGTAAGGCTGTTTCCACTGAGATTGAGGGTTTCAAGGATGCTAATGAAGGCTAATTCTGGACTGATTTCACCGGAAAAATTGTTATGTGACAGTGATAATACCTTCAAATATGGTAATTTTTCGAGGCCTCTTCCGATCTTTCCTGATAAGCTCAGGTTGTCGAGTGATAATTGGGAGACTCGGCCGTTGGTCGGATTGCATTGAATGAATTCCCAAGAACAAGCAGAATTATCGTCTTCGTTCCATGAGGACAGTGAGGAGGATGGGTCGTGTAGGCCTAGTTTGAAGACGATAAGGCCTAAAACATCATCGTTGAGTTGTAGAGAGTTATCTCCCATGCAAATGCTCAGTGTAGCCATTAAGATCAATGGAAAGAACACCTGAGGAATACCCATAATCTTCATCATCATCATGATCCTCTCTCTCTCTCTCTCTCTGTGTGTAAAAGCTAGTAAACCATGGCTGAACCAGCAAAGGTGAGCTAGAGGTACTTAACTGAAGAACTCTCGTGTTGGGTCTGCCAGATATTGCACTTGATGGAAATGAGCTCTCTCTCTTTCTCTCTCTCTCTCTCTCTCTCTCTCTCTCTCTCTGTGCTAGTTACCCACGGCTAAAGAAACAAAGATGACGTTGAGGTACTAAATCCCGTGTTGGGTCTGATAGATGCACTAGCTGGAGGAAAATGAAATGACTCTGCTCACGAGAGAGAGAGAGAGAGTTATATTTACCAAACCAGTGTTTCTTTGTGTTCCTCTTTCATAGGCTATGCAGGGGAATAGTAAAGGGAATCATTGAACAAAGATGGAAATCAATGAAGAATGTTATGGTTTCAAAGAATTCTAAGGAAACAATCAACAACTGGTCCACCGTGCCCTCCTGACACATGCCATCAAGCCAGTCAAGTGTTTTTGTCGATTTTTTCATCCTATAACGTCTTGTCTGTTCATTCATTTTAAAATAGATTTAGTCCAAACGAATTGCCGTAGTTATAGAGATTCAAATTTTAGCATTGAGCGAGAAAATTCAAATTCTTACCCACTAGACCAATAGTTCGTTGGTTGAAATTTTTCATAATAAAAAAAAAAATGTTTCAAAATGTTCTTCAATCTCATTGCTGCAACATCAAATTTCAAGTGGACGTTATTACCTTCAAGCCACGTGTATCGATTAAATTTAATATTTTGTGGCAGGAAAAACTCAACACAGAATGCAAAGATTTGTGTCTTGTTTCTTATTATAGCCGAATCGATCCATTATTAACTAGAGGGAGTTTTGTTTTTGCAGTTCTCTATCATTCACATTATCCACAGGAATTTTATTGAAGTTCACTGCATACCATTCGTTTTTTTGTGACAAATTCATTGCAATTATGAGTGCATAAGATCCAAGCATGAGTCACGGACGCCTTATGCACCTACTGGAAAAGGCTACAAGTCGTGGTCCCGCACCCTTCTTTGAATTATTATCCAATAATGATTTTTTTTTAAAATGCAAGTATATATCCGACTCAACATCTTGCTTGGACTCCTCTCCAATTATCAAATGAATCTAACATGCTCTCATCTACCACACTCTCTATATGCACGGCTAAACGATTACGACTATGTAACGTGTATGGTCCCGACCGTCATGAAACAAATTCAAAGCTATTTTCAACAAACTTCTTATGACATCGATTTCAAAATGTACTGAACACAACCAATGAAAATGCAACATTTTCAATTATTGGAATACTAATTCCAGACAACAACAATAAAGCACTATTTGAAAATAGATTTAAAGACGTGCGTATTTTGAGTTAATCCACTTAAATATTTCAAAATCGAGACCATTATATGTGACCTTATGATCATTGTGAACAACTCTTTTTAAATTTCATCAAAATGGAACATGTGTTGTTTCATCAATTGATCTTCAGGTCAAATTAGGGTGCAAGTCTCCATCCTTTTCTTCTCCCATGACTCTCTATGTTCCCCATCCTATATATTCCTTGAGATTATGTAAGGTCTCTTGAAAATTCAGATTGGTTCTGTTCATTTCACCAATGGGACTATTCTACCTAGCACTTTCCTTTCGTTTTTTATGAACCTGCACTTTACCTACCTCTGGTTTTGTCTATGGTATTGTGCCAGATTTCTGCAGAAGTATGGATGGAGATGACGGTAAAGAAGCCTTGAGTGACCTCAGATTGCTAGTCGAAAAAGAGTATAAAGTGAATAAGTTAGGATTAAATGCTTTTAACTAATACTGGAGGTTTTTATTTATAGTGATAGGAAATTGTGTCCCAAATAAACTTAAACTCTAAGTTATGATAAAATCAACCTCATCATTAACTCCGCAAAATTCAGAGTAATATTAAACTAAAACTCTTACTCCTAAATTAAACCTTAATCGAGTAAGACTCGTAGAGGTGTGCAAGTAAAATGAGTGGTGCAGGATACCAACCGGCTGGTTGGGTCCTTGGGAGGGCTGCCTGTCAGCTAGGCTCCCCTTGTGAGGTGCCACTCGGCACTTGCCAAGTATAGGCCCCCACAGGTATCATCTCCAAAATTACATCAAAATTAGCAGTCGAGATTCAGAAAGTTGCAGTTGAATAGAATGTGAAAATCGTTTTTAATACATGTATAATTAATTACATCCCTACCTTTTTTCTCTTTCCCAAATAAACTCATTCATTTCTTTCTCTTTCCTTTATTTAAAGGTTAAACTTTTTCAACATGATACGATCTTAACATGACATCAAATTCATAAATTCAAATTGACTAATTATCAACACGAATCCAATGACGTGAAGACCCACTAACACACAAATAAACTAGTTTGGTTAATGTTAGTCTCGAATAACCCTACTTTGATATGACCAATCACTTATCTAATATTATATAAAAAAAACTAATGTCTGCCTTTTTATATCTTGATCAAGTATCGGATTCGGATGCATCTTTGTAGATGATAAGATTTTTTACTTAGTTTTGCTTTCAATGGTTAATCTGTCCAAAACCTGGTCATATTAATTGACATCTGAAACCTCTTGAGTTCTCTATATTACTATAACAATTAATAAAAAATAATGATAATCTTCATCACTACTGTCATTTCCATTTATAACATCAAATGTTTATGACTGTGCTAGCTTATCATCAATCATCATCATCACAAAATCAAGAACAAAAGGAAATGACATTAATCGCCAATCATATGCCCATAAGAATCATCATTTTCAAGGAAACTTAGAGGTACTAACACCCAGAGGCCCGTCAGCTTGGGCAGCCATTGCAAGCTCGAACTGCCTCAGAGAAATTGAAGGAAAAGAAAGTATTTCTGGAGCTTTGAAATTTTCCCACCCCTTTACTGGATTGGTTGTTGTGGAGCCGTCCCATCCTATGTGTGTAACATGCTTCACATCTGTTGGCAATCCAATCTCCATCTCCATTTCCATCTCTTCCATATCCTCTTTATAAACTTAAGAAGAAAAAAATTTAGAGAGAGAGAGTCAATAAAGGGCAATGCATAATCACAAAACCCTCGAAAACAATATAGCAGCTTAAGAACAAAAAAAGATAAATAATAGATTACCTCCTAGTAAACTTAAGTTATTGGAGATGGTGTTAGTTAAATATTTTATGTTTCAACACAGTTCCTTTACATGCATTGCAAATTTTGGGCCTACTATGTGAAATCTTTTAATAATTAGGGTACCATCGAGATTCAAACACATGACATCTTGTCCTGATATCTTGTTAAACAACCATCTATTCTAAAGGTTTTTCAAAAAAGTTTAAATTGTTAGAGAAAGTGTAATTTAAGTATTTATACTTCAACAACAACACATTATCTCCAAATAGACATACAACCATGGTTTAGAACTATGAAACCATTAAGAAATTAATCCGTGAAAATTGAAACTAGATGGCTGAAACTCAATATTTTTAATAAAATAACATATCAGCATTATTTTCACACCATTATGCATCTCATAGTTTTTTTTTTATTGCTCCCTTTAGGACAAGTTAATCTTTTTACTCTCTTACCATCTGTGCATTAAATGAATTATTCAGTTTGTATATAATTTTTAGGAAGAAACACACTAAAGAAGTAACAAAACTATTGCAGGTATTATTATCTTTTTACGCCAAATTGTTAACTCCGTTAGTTGTAGCACTATAGTCCAAAAATATGATAGATTAAATGTAAATCGTTAAAATATAGGGTGGTAAAATGCACTAAGTCAAACCACAAAACGGTAGAATATAATTTAGTTTAAAGAAAAACTTGAACATATTCGATGTAAGAAATTTTTATACCAACTGATGTGACCCTTGTCTTTTGCCAATGAGCAATGTTACGTGGATTTAAATATTAGATTTGATAATCTTAATTATTGATTTTACTGTGGGTCCTTGCATTTATTGGGATCCATTACCTATTCAATAATTGAGATTATCAAGTCTAATTTTTAAATCTAGTTTTTAAGTCTATCTAANCTTGTCTTTTGCCAATGAGCAATGTTACGTGGATTTAAATATTAGATTTGATAATCTCAACTATTAATTTTACTGTGGGTCCTTGCATTTATTGGGACCCATTACCTATTCAATAATTGAGATTATCAAGTCTAATTTTAAATCTAGTTTTTAAGTCTATCTAGCATTACTCTTTGAGAATTTACAACAATATAACCTTTATCTTATAGTTCAGCCAATCAATAAACCAGCTATATGCATTGTGTATAAAAGGAACATATGCCACAAGGTGGTAGAACAATTGTGTTCCCTACCCATACACCGTAAACATAAGTTCTCATTCATCTAACCTTTAACTTGATTTATAGCACTGAGGGCCCAGACAAGAGGGCTTGTGATGAGACTTCCTTCCCAATTATATGTCAAATTGTGGGTAAAATTTTGAACAATATGTATAGATAGAAGTCTTTCTTGTTAGCCCAAGAAAAGAAAAACTGTGAATCACTTGTTTCCCTGTTGCTTCAACTACGGTAGAGAAAATATCATTTTCTTCTATGGGCCCAACTACGGTTTGAAAAGTTATATATCGAAATTTTTTTTTGGTAAATAAGTGCTTTCATTAACCGAACAATAGCGTACCCCATGCTTTTAGTGTACAATCCAAAGTAAACAAAAACAAAAGTCATTAGATGGACCGTCNACCAGCTATATGCATTGTGTATAAAAGGAACATATGCCACAAGGTGGTAGAACAATTGTGTTCCCTACCCATACACCGTAAACATAAGTTCTCATTCATCTAACCTTTAACTTGATTTATAGCACTGAGGGCCCAGACAAGAGGGCTTGTGATGAGACTTCCTTCCCAATTATATGTCAAATTGTGGGTAAAATTTTGAACAATATGTATGGATAGAAGTCTTTCTTGTTAGCCCAAGAAAAGAAAAACTGTGAATCACTTGTTTCCCTGTTGCTTCAACTACGGTAGAGAATATATCATTTTCTTCTATGGGCCCAACTACGGTTTGAAAAGTTATATATCGAAATTTTTTTTTGGTAAATAAGTGCTTTCATTAACCGAACAATAGCGTACCCCATGCTTTTAGTGTACAATCCAAAGTAAACAAAAACAAAAGTCATTAGATGGACCGTCTTCTATTCCTAATAGATAGAAGATCATTCATCCTTAAAACAAACAAAGGCCACATAACTGAGAAACAAGCAAAACCAACTACACCACAGTAGAGGCACCAATATATTCTTTTTTTTTTTTTTGGTTTAACGATCAAAAATGTTTGGACCAGTTTACGTGCGCTTCGATTAATTCTCTCTCCGATTCGGTCAAAGACAATTATACACACCAGAATTAGGGTATTCATGAGAAATAAAATTTTCATATCCAGACCCCAAATAGATATCGAGGTTTGAACAAATAAGATTTAACAATGTTTTAGCACCACAAAAACAAAGACAAATATGATATAAGTAAAGTTGTCTTCTTTTATTATTTTACTTTATTATTTTCATGATCAAANCGTACCCCATGCTTTTAGTGTACAATCCAAAGTAAACAAAAACAAAAGTCATTAGATAGCGTACCCCATTCTATTCCTAATAGATAGAAGATCATTCATCCTTAAAACAAACAAAGGCCACATAACTGAGAAACAAGCAAAACCAACTACACCACAGTAGAGGCACCAATATATTCTTTTTTTTTTTTTTGGTTTAACGATCAAAAATGTTTGGACCAGTTTACGTGCGCTTCGATTAATTCTCTCTCCGATTCGGTTAAAGACAACTATACACACCAGAATTAGGGTATTCATGAGAAATAAAATTTTCATATCCTGACCCCAAATAGCTATCGAGGTTTGAACAAATAAGATTTAACAATGTTTTAGCACCACAAAAACAAAGACAAATATGATACAAGTAAAGTTGTCTTCTTTTATTATTTTACTTTATTATTTTCATGATCAAAGTTTAGAATAAATAAAACTAAGATTTACGACAACATAAATAATTTTTCGGTTCAGTACAAAAAATTACTCTTTCGTACCATAGCCTTATCCATCCCGTAGAGTAATGATTTGCTTCTTCATGGCAAACATAACATTGCATTTGACTGTAACTGATAACCCACTTACCAAATCGTTGAGAAAAGCTCTTGAAACTCCTAACTAATCGGTGTATCCCATAAGAAAAGTTTGGTTTAGGAAGAGCCAAGAAACTCAATGAGTTCTTCATTTTCATCCCGGATGAACTTTCTTCTCCTTCCTTTGCTCCTTAGAAAGAATATGGAAGACACCACCAATTAGGAACTCCCCATACCCGAAACCACACACAGATAGAAAGAGAGAGAAAAGATCATACTAGTTAGAGCTGAATTTGATTCAACTTTCTGCTTCTTGGGTTGGTATGTGCCAACTGCAACACTTGACTCAGAAACACAGCCGATTGAAAATGGAAGAACTACCAGCCTCTCCATACGATCCCTCATGGCTTCATATATCGAAAAAGCTTAAAAAGAAGAAAGAGAGAGGAGATATGGAAGGCTGTTGTTACGGTTGTGGAATTGAAAATGGGTTCGTTATATTGGGGGTTGGTTGGCTTTATGATTAAGTTAGAATCATTTTACGCGCGGAAGTGTAAAATACACCCAAGTTTGGTACACAAAAGTTATCATGGAGTGGGTTGGAGTAGGAGTTGTTAGTTGGTTAAACCGTGCAACTCAAACCTATTTTTAGTAATTGCTGGTCCCTTTTTGAAAAAAAATAATGTATAAATTATCTCCGTGTGATTTATTATAGTAATAGGGTACAATCCTATATTTTTTAAACCTACACACGGGCTATCCAGTCTAAATACACGGGCTTATGGATAGACCTTGTTGTCCATCTCCAAAATGGAGACTTATACTCAACTAAATTTGAAAAAGAGTTAAAAAACCTGATTTAGGATAGACATTTTTAATAGAAAAATTTTAATTTAAAGAAAGAGAAATTTAAATTTAAATGAAGATAAATCTAAATTTAAAAAATTCTAAAATATGACTATTAAATTTTTAAAGGATGGTGAAATCTCACTATTAAAGATTTAAATATGCATTTGAGTCTCCTTTGATTTGAGTAAAAAAAAAGTTTCTTTTAATTTGATATGGATATGAATCTAGTATTAAAAAAGGTTTTTAAGAGATTTTTATTAAAATTTAAATTTGAGTTTAAAAAAGAATAAGGATTAGAGATGCTCTTAAGGATCTTGTGAAAATCAGTAATGTTATGCTGAACAAATTTTGGGATCAAATTTGGAGCTCAAATAACATGACAATATATTATTTTGAGTATTTATTAGGACACAAATGACATAACACTAAATAAAGAAGCCCAAGTCAGCTACCATATCATTTGCGCTCTAAATTTAATCATAAAATTTGATAAATGTAGCATTATTGTATGTAAATTAATAATAAGTGGCTAAAGTCAATATTTTTAATTGACACAATGGTAAACGCGAGACACAAAGAGATCATCATTTTTAAGTATATAGAAAAAAATACTTTGAATCTACAGAAAAAATGACAAGAGAATATTTCTAAAAAAATATATTATTCAATGATTCATTCGTATTGAGCATCTCAGACCCTGACTTAAATTTAAACTAAAATATAAATTTGAGTAAAAAATTCTAAAAAACTTGTTCTAACATTTGACCCAAACTTATATCAAATCAAAAGAGACTCATTTTTTTAATCCAATCAAGGGAAATCAAATCCTTACCCAAATCTTTAATGGTGAGATTCTATCATCTTTTAAAAATTCAATAGTCATCTTTACTCTCTTTTAAATTTGAATTTTCTCCTTCTTTAAATTTGAATTTATCTACTGGAGTTCTTTGTATCAAATCAAGTTTTTTACTCAAATGTTAATTAAATTTGAATAAAAATTTGAATCATGATTGAAGATGCTCAAAAGAATATATATAGGAATGACCAAAATTCTAATCATTCCCATAATAAAAGTAAAATTCCTAATTATACAAATATTATTAAAAGTGAAAAATTACAATCTAACTAATCTACATCTATCTATATTTATAACTATATCTATCTATACTAATAATAAAAGTACCTTAACATGAAAATTTTTTGAATCTCTATTTTATTCTTATAAAAAATTGTAAACACCACTCTATCCTTTCACAATTAAATATATAAATTATCATCACATGTATTCTCTTTTTTATTGAAAATTTTAATCTTTTCATTTCTAAGATAAAAAATAATCATATATAAAGTTTTTTAAAATGTATTTATATTATATCAATATAATTATTCAACCACAATAAACTTTTTAAGTTGTATTAAGATTTTATGTGAAAATAGATATTGTAGCGTATTTTTAAGAAAAATTTGAATTTTTTTAGAATTTTAATAATGTAGAATTTGAATTTGAATATGATTAGTATATTGTCAATTACTTTTATTTTGTTCAAGAAATTTAAAGTGGAATCCTAATAAAATAAATGTAAAAAAAATTAATTTCTCAATCATCACTAAAAAATCAATCTCAATCAAAAAATTCTAAAAAAAATAAAATAAAATTCTAACTAATATCTCTTTTCTTATAGTTAGAATAAAGAATTTTGGAAACATATAAAGTTTTTATAATCCTACAATACAATATGAGTAATGCAAAATTAAGTTTGATAAAATTGAGATGATATTTAATTCAGATACAAGTATACCTAATATATTTTATTAATTTTTGGGTAAGAAAATCATTAACGTGCAACGCACGTGATGCTTTGCTTGTTAACGAGTCGTCTGGAGTCTACCAAAATTGACAACATTAAATTTGAAATTTCCTATGATTATTATTAATTTTTGAATTCTTTCATAAAACAACAAAAACAGGATTTTGAAGGTTTAAACAATGGAATTCGACCAAAAACAAAAGAAGTTCATGGGAAAACAATTAGTTTTGATCGTTGACCTGATCCATATCAAACACCACTAATTCACTGAATTTTGAGTCTAACCTATTTTACTTCTACTATTACTTTTTGGTTTGCTTTGCTTTGAAGGTATGACATTCAGACTGTTCTAAGTGCTTTGTTGTCACCTGTTGTACATCTTTAATATAATAAAAAACTAAAATTGTTTGTTTATTCCCTATAGATATAATAGTTTTTTGTTTCTCTCTCTTTCTCTCTCTAGAATATCAATTTCTTTCTCTCCTATAATTTTCTATTCATTAGTTGGTATTTTCAAGTTGAATAAACTTTTTAAGAAGACATGCCCTAAAAAATACAAGAGATTGTTATATTTTTGTAGGATAAATTAATAAATAGAATAGATGAAAAACATAAAAAATCCTAAAATAGCCTTTCAGCTAAAATCTAAACTATTATTTTCTTGAAAAATGCTACTTGGAGTTAAAATATTGACTTGATTTGTTGACTTGATCAATTACAACTATTAAATAGTTAGTTAGTTTCAATAAATATTGGCACGCGCAGTTAAATCAATGACAATAATCTGTTAATCAGCATTTTAAATACATGAAATATTGCTCCATTTTCTTTCCATCTTATTTACTAGAAATTGCAGCTCTCCACCTTCAGGGGCTATTTGGTAAGGGGGAATGGGGGGCTTGACAAGATAAGTATGAGAAAATAGTCCAAAGGACCCCTCAAATCTTATATTTGGATTAAATATTCAATTTCAGATTCTCAAACTTAACCTGTAGCTGGCTCAAAGATTAAAATCCTGATCATGGGTTTCACGAAACCTAGGGAGTGAGTGTGTTTGGGAAGATAAGTTAAGGGATTAAGGATGCAAAAGACAATTGTACCACTTAACTTGAATATGAATTAGATTAATCAAGGGTAAAATAGTCATTTACAGGACAAATAATTGTTAATAATTATAATATATCCATGAGTCCTACATGTGCATGTATTGCATATCAAACATGAGTATGGACCGGATTGAATGTTGAATTCCATCTTTGTAAAAAAAGATTTGAATTTGGATGAATTTAGAGAAATTAATCCAAACTTCTCCCCAAAATTCATCCAAACAAGCCTTGAATGTTAATGCCCCGCCCTAGTTATCAATATCACCACTACGTTCACCAAACACATAATACCATAACCCTAACATACAATTCTAAATACAAATCAATTCTATGAAAAAAAAATACTTAAAAAATTATTTAGTCAATTACTATAATAAAAAAATTTGTAGATTCATTGAATCACAACTAACAAATGTGCATCACGAATTGAACCAATAACGCCACCATGTCCACTAGTAACAAACACACCAACACCACCGCAAATCCCTGTTGTCATTGCAACCACCGTCCACTCACATCAATCAACCAAAAGGAAAAGAGAAACGAGAAAAAAAATAAAGGGCATAAGAACTGCATTAAATACTCCAACAACAACCTAACCCACCCCCCTACTAAATGCAAATGTAGCCAGGGGCGGAGCCACCTTATGCCCAATGGGGCACATGTCTACCCTCAAATTTTCTTTACTAAAATTACTTACACATTATTTAAATATTTTTTTTAATATAATAAATTGTGCCCACCCTATTTTTTAATCAAGACCAAAAAATACATAATATATTCATGAGTTTACTTATAATTTTAACATTTATTTTAGTAACTATCACTAACATGATAAATAATATATTTTATTGTGTAATCAAATGAATAATAAATAACTAAGTGATAATATGATTATGGATATAAATAATAATAAAGTTAATTCAAAATTTTCAATATATATAAAAATTCATCGAAGTCAATTTTAAATAGTTTTAATTAGGCTTTGTTTGGTAAAATGATATAATTAGCTTCTTCTTTTTTTTGTCATTTGTATTTACTATGCTTAGTAATTTTAGTCTTTTAAGTTTAATGAAATTTTAAGAATTAAATAAGATATAATTAAATTAAGCTTGTTAGTTACAAGTAAAATTATTTTTATCAATTACAAGAAAAAAATTACAATTAAAATTATTTTTATCAATTATAAGAAAAAATTTAAGTTTGTTAAAATATACAGTGCCCACCCTGAAAGAACTTTCTGGCTCCGCCCCTGAATGTTGCCCACAACCACTAACAAAGCTCCAACTCCGCTTATTCGACACCATTCTTGAGAGAATCTCCGACCCACTCTCTATTTTTTCTCTTTTAGCTAGTCAAATACAAAAAACACTCTCCAACCCACTCTCTATCCCGCCCTCTAAATTCTCTCTACCTCTTTCTCTCTCTATTTGTCTCTATAAATATGTTGTATTCCCTTTAAATTATTGAAAATTAATTAAAATTAGGTGAAGTAGTTAGTTAAAATAGAGAGTTGTTGAAGTAAATTTATAAAAGTGACTAACTAAAATAGAAAATGTATTATTTAAATATATTTTGATTAACTATTTTGGAGAGTTGAATTAGAAACGCTCTAAGCAGAGCTCTAATTCCACCCAAACTTAATTTTGATTCCGTTGAAACCCTAAATAACGCTCTGGTGGAGTGTAGAACAATGCGTGTGTGTCGCCACGTGTGCTTTCATTTTTGTTTGTGTTTAGGCACAGAAGCTGGTAAAGCTACGACATGAAAAGCGGGTGTGGTTTGTAGGGCTTAAGGTGGTGGGTCGGGGATGCTGCTTGGAGATGGTCACTACTGATGAAAGGGTTGGTGTTTCTTGTCCAGGAGGGGGTGGCCTAGGCTTAGGGGTGGATGGGTTTTGCTTGTCGACGTTGTAGCTAGGGTAGCTACTGTCTTGGGGCCGAGGTTGTTGGTCGCAGAAGTAGGTGGCCTATGTCTGTTGAAAGGAGGAGTTGGGGGCAGGGGTGGCTCAACAAGACTTGGGGTTAAAGCAATGATGGTCAATATGACTTTTTTATTTTTTTTTAATAATAATTTAATTTTTTAATTTAAAATTCATTATTTTTTATTTTTTGATGAGATTTAAAATTGTTAATCAAAATTTTACTAATATATATTTTTTTGATCAATAATATGGTTTTTTAATATAAATATATATAGGAATAAAATTAATTAATTTATTAATATTTTTATGTTCTTTTTATTTGTTTTATATGTTCTTTGTCAAAAATGTGGTATTAGATAATTGACTTTTTGTAAAGAAATTCATTGTTATCTTTCTTTTGGATTATTTTACTATATTTGAATTTTACTTGTTTTTCTATGCAACTTTCACCTAAATTTTGTTATATTTTATTTGTTATGAATAATAACTTTATAAAAATATTTTTTTAATAAGAATGAATGGTTTAATTGGTGATTTGGGTTCAAATAAGAAAAAAAAAAACAAATTTAAGAGAAGTAGAGAATGTGTTTGATTTGATTTTTTTTTTTTAACTAAAAAGGGATGCTTATTATACTTATTTCAATTGGAAAAAGAGAAGGATTTTGTTAGCACTTTTTTTTTTGTTAATTTTTTTGTCCTTTAATAAATGTGATTGTGTGAGATGGTCTAGACTTTTGAACCCAAATTTTTAATTTTTTTGTTGGTTTACTTTTTCAAATATTATTTTTTTAGGCTATATTGTAGTAAATTTTATTTTTTAGCTTATATAACATTATTAATTTTTAAATTTGAAGCCTTTTTCATATGGAAGCCTAAAGTCCAAGCTTTTATTTTTATACCATAGGGCCGACCTTGGTTGGCGGTTGGGTGAGTTAAGATTTTTTCGCACTTTTCTCAAACAGTAATGTTATACTTATGATGTTTAGGAAAAAAATATTCATTGAAATTGTGCGTTAGTATTATCACGTGGTATCACTAATAAATAATATGCAAACAAATAAATAAATGAACCCAACACAAGTCAATAACTACCTGTCTATATAAATAGATAACTATCCACTTTTCTTTTATATAAACCAATAACCACCAAAGTAGGGTTCACTTTGTCAATTTAAAATTTTATTATTAATTGATAATACTATATCATCAATACCAATACTGACATGATATCGTTGTAATGAATATTCTTAATTACGTGTGACTTGTAATTGAATTCAAGATCACGTGGGATTCACATGATCAACTTCTGTCAACTTTTGATGGTCTGAGTAACAGTAATGCAGTAATCTATGTAATGTTCAAACTTGAAGGGGTAAAATGTTTAAACTAAAACCTTAAGGAGTTAATTGCATCATTACCCAAATATGAAGAGAACATTTTTGTAATTAACCCATTTTTATATTAAATTATTAGTTCCATTTAGTGTTGCTATTTAGTCCAAAATCACAGATGATTAGGTTTATATTTCTAAAATAGATAGGTAAAGAGTGTCATGGATTGATATTATTGAGCACTAGCCAACAAAACAACTTGTCATGAAACACAATTTATTCACTTTGCTTGGGTTTTCAACTGCCATTTATTTCAGGAATGAGAACGTGCCCACATAACTTGTTATCATAAAGCTCATTTTACTTATTCTCTTTGGTAGGGTTCTCAGTTCACTGGCCACTCTTGATGACCAACTCGCCACTTCACGGCAGCTTCCATTCTCTTCTCTGTTCATGCCTTGACCTTCTTGGTCTTAGCTCTNAAAAAAAAAACACATTTAAGAGAAGTAGAGAATGTGTTTGATTTGATTTTTTTTTTTAACTAAAAAGAGATGCTTATTATACTTATTTCAATTGGAAAAAGAGAAGGATTTTGTTAGCACTTTGTTTTTTGTTAATTTTTTTGTCCTTTAATAAATGTGATTGTGTGAGATGGTCTAGACTTTTGAACCCAAATTTTTAATTTTTTTGTTGGTTTACTTTTTCAAATATTATTTTTTTAGGCTATATTGTAGTAAATTTTATTTTTTAGCTTATATAACATTATTAATTTTTAAATTTGAAGCCTTTTTCATATGGAAGCCTAAAGTCCAAGCTTTTATTTTTATACCATAGGGCCGACCTTGGTTGGCGGTTGGGTGAGTTAAGATTTTTTCGCACTTTTCTCAAACAGTAATGTTATACTTATGATGTTTAGGAAAAAAATATTCATTGAAATTGTGCGTTAGTATTATCACGTGGTATCACTAATAAATAATATGCAAACAAATAAATAAATGAACCCAACACAAGTCAATAACTACCTGTCTATATAAATAGATAACTACCCACTTTTCTTTTATATAAACCAATAACTACCAAAGTAGGGTTCACTTTGTCAATTTAAAATTTTATTATTAATTGATAATACTATATCATCAATACCAATACTGACATGATATCGTTGTAATGAATATTCTTAATTACGTGTGACTTGTAATTGAATTCAAGATCACGTGGGATTCACATGATCAACTTCTGTCAACTTTTGATGGTCTGAGTAACAGTAATGCAGTAATCTATGTAATGTTCAAACTTGAAGGGGTAAAATGTTTAAACTAAAACCATAAGGAGTTAATTGCATCATTACCCAAATATGAAGAGAACATTTTTGCAATTAACCCATTTTTATATTAAATTATTAGTTCCATTTAGTGTTGCTATTTAGTCCAAAATCACAGATGATTAGGTTTATATTTCTAAAATAGATAGGTAAAGAGTGTCATGGATTGATATTATTGAGCACTAGCCAACAAAACAACTTGTCATGAAACACAATTTATTCACTTTGCTTGGGTTTTCAACTGCCATTTATTTCAGGAATGAGAACGTGCCCACATAACTTGTTATCATAAAGCTCATTTTACTTATTCTCTTTGGTAGGGTTCTCAGTTCACTGGCCACTCTTGATGACCAACTCGCCACTTCACGGCAGCTTCCATTCTCTTCTCTGTTCATGCCTTGACCTTCTTGGTCTTAGCTCTTCAATATTATTACACGACTTGACCTGAGGGGTAGAGTGAATCGTAAGGGAAATTGCTAGAATTCAAAGCAGGCTCAAGGATTTCTTGATTCCCAAACAATAGTGGGTGCTGAAGTCTAAATGAAGCCACAGTGTTTGGTGGTGGGGTCGATTCTTTTTGACCATTTTGATAATTTTGAAAATAAATGATATCAACTGACCACCTTTTCTTCGTTTCCTTCTTTTTTTTTTTAAACTTCTTTTTCCTGTTTAAGATAAATAGAGATTGCATTTTTAGTCTAAACTTGTCCAAAGTGTATTTCAAATGGTACCATAGAGTACCCCCTTTTTTTTTTTTTTCATTTTAGATTTTATTTTTGTCAAACTAAGTAAACAGCATTCAGGCTAGTTTGAGTACCCAACTGCTAGAGATATCATATGATTAAAAGGAATCTCCATCAATATTTACATAGAAATACAATAGGATCTAAAGTGATTCATCCTCATATATTTAGGCTGTGTGGATAAACATAGATCAATAATGATAGATGTAGGTGATATTAATCTTGGGTGTTTGATAATTCCACTTAAGATTTAAAACTAAATACTTTAAATACTTAATGACTTAAACTCGTTTGATAACCTAAAATTCATACTACTTAATATTTTAAGCATTTTTTAAAAATAGATTAAAATTTTAAATAGCAAACCACCTATTTATCAAATGTTAAAAATATTAGTCAGTAAGAATTTTATCAATTCCTCATAATAGACAAATATACCCTCAATATATTTTACATTATTAATTTTTCAATATATACCACCACCATTTTATTGTCGCCGCGATCACAACCACTGACACTACCACTATTATGCCACTGTCATCACCACTGCCATTGTATCGCCGCCACACCACTATCATTGTGTCATTGTCACTGTCGCCATCACCACTACTATCATCACCATCATCACTATTGTGTCATTGTCACCATTACCATTATTCCACCACTACCATTGTGTCGCCGCCATTACTATTTTGCCATCGCCACCACTACTGCTACCATCATCACCATTATGACACCACTACCATTGTGTTACCGTCACTACCATCATTGTCACCACCACTACCACTACCACTACCACCACCACTACCACCGCCACTATCATGATGGTGGTGGTAAGAATAAAGTAGTTACGAAGAGATAGTCAAAAAGAAAGATAAAATTAGAAAAATAATAATTTTCAGACTTCGGCTCCTTATATTTGTCAAACAGTTTGATTAAATTCAGCACTTAAATTTTAGTTGATACCTAACATTCTGTGAATTAAAAAAATCAACATTCAGTTTCAATGTTCAGATGGTGTTTGATAAAATTAAAAACTGAATGCTGAATTTTTTAATTTGCAGACTGTTTGGTATCAACTAAAATTTAAGTTTTAAATTTAATCAAACTGTTTAACAAATATAAGGACATGAAGTTTGAAAATTATTAATTTTCTAATTTAGCCCTTTTTTTTAACCATTTTTTTTGCAACTGTCTTATTCCTATCACCACCATTACAATGGTGGTGGTAGTGGTGGCGAGGATGATGGTGATGAAGGTGGCAACAAAATGGTGGTGGTGGTGACAATAGTGGTAGAGGCAGTGGTTCTAGCACAATGGTAGTGGGGGCAGCAACAATGGTGATGGTGGCAGAAATGTTAGGGTGGTGGTGGCAGCGACACAATGGTAGTGACAGTTGTGGTGGTGAGAATGGTCAGTGGTGGCAATGACAATGGTAGTGATGGTGACTGTGGTGACAATGGTCGCAGTGATGGCGATGGCATAATGATGGTGGTGGCGGTGACATAATGGTAGTTATGGTGGCAACAACACAATGGTGGTAGCGACAATAATAGTGGTGGTAGTAATGTTGGTAGTGACAACAATGGTAGTAGTG